CAATTTTGGTCTCATCAGACCAGAGAACCTTTTGCCACATCTTTGCTGTGTCGCCCACATGCCTTTTGGCTAAATCCAAATGGTTCTTTCAGCACTGGCTTTCTCCTCACCACTCTTCCATAAAGCCCAGCTTTGTGGACCTCCCAGGCAATAGTTGTCCCTTGGACAGTTTCTCCCATCTAGGCTGTGGAACTCTGTAGCTCCTTCAGAGTTACCATTGGCCTCTTGGTGGCTTCTCTGACCAATGACCTCCTTGCCCGGCCACTTAGTTCTGGTGGTCAGCCTTCTCTAGGCAAAGTCTTCATGATGTTGTTTGTTTGGATATGCTCTCTAACAAACTCTGGTGCCTTCTTCTTCTTCTTCTGTGGGGTTTTAGGGCCGACAACGTCCTGAAAAGTTGTATTGCTGCCCACTGTACTCAGAAAACAAAAGGGGGAAATCCAAAAAGGAAATGTGGAAAACTAAAACTAACGCCTGCTAACATCCAAAAATAACATCCAAAACAAAAAATTATCATCAATCAATCAACTTTACTCAGAACCCTACACAGATCCGGGGACCTGAGAGGACGCCACTGCTCCTGCCGGTACTTAATGCAGCCCTTAACCCATTACATCCCTCACTCCCAAGAATCGTTTAGCAACAAAGACAGAAATCCTTCCCGAGCTCTAATCCACTCCTGTAGTGCAGTTTATCACTGTAGCAATAAATGCCAAAAAGTCGAACAGCACCCACAGCACTGGACTGCAATGTCTCCATGGCAGCCGAAACCACTAGTGATTTATTTTGTTGAAGTGTCTGTCCTATATCTAGGAGATATAAGAAAGGTCAGGAAATATATTTGTTTTTTGGACACATATTTAACCCCTTTTTTTGTTGGCACAAAACTACCTCCACACTTCCATTCATTTTTTCAACCAGTACCAAGTTACCTTCAGACGAGTCCAGTAACAATTGTGCAAAACTGAGAACACCATCGTGTTCGTGAGAGTCTCCTCTTTCCATAGAATGGTCATATTAGTTAGCAGGCCAAACTGTTCGGAAGCTACAGACGTTTTCGTGAGAAGACCGATTTTCGGTATGTCTCCTGGTCTGACAAACAGGCTGTAGCTCTGCCACTTTCCACCGCAGATGCAGATGCGGAAGGCTGACATACAGTAGGCGGATGTGGTGGATTGAGACGCAGCCCATGCAACAAAAAAAAACATATCTCTAGCTTAAACTGACTGATTTTTTTGGTTTAAAAAATATATATATGTTAATCATGTGACAATAACTGCACACTGATGGACTCCATTCAACTAACTATGAGACTTCTGAAGGCAATTGAGCCTTGTTCACATTGGCAGTTTGAAGTGACTCAAACTTTATTTTTTGGCATATCAGATTCGAATCTGTTCTTTTTCCTGCAGTCTGAACAGCCAAAAAGCACATGGAATCGGATATTTCAAGCCACAGTTGGAAGTAGATACAAACATGATTCCTTGCCCTCAAGTGGTTTTTAGACTGTTATTTGGCATATCTTGTTGCTTGCTAGCTACTCTGTTGACAGTTTGACAAAAACATGTGGTAGCTAACTATCTTGTTAATTGTTTACAAACAAATTAATGAATGTGCTAGAAAGCTAAACAGCTACCTAGCTAGCTAGTTGACTGCTGTGGCTAGCCAAAAATGACATGTTTTGATAGTTGGATCATCCTTTGAGGCTTTAAAAGTGTTTTTATACTATGATTTTGAACATTCAAAGCAACTGGGAAATGTCTATGGCAAGCATTGTTGTCACCTTAGCTTGCAACATAACTTCTGAGTGATAGGAAGCAAGAGCACCACCACCATTCAGCCTACACCACTGCGCACACATCCGTCATTACTAGGACAACTAGCGCAGTCTCTGTCGTAGCTGGCCGCGACCGGGAGACCCATGGGGCGGCGCACAATTGGCCCAGCATCATCCAGGGTAGGGGAGGGAATGGCCGGCAGGGATGTAGCTCAGTTGGTAGAGCATGGCTTTCGCAACGCCAGGGTTGTGGGTTCGTTTCCCACGGGGGGCCAGTATGAAAAAATAAAAATAGTGTATGCACTCACTAACTGTAAGTCGCTCTGGATAAGAGCGTCTGCTAAATGACAAAAAAAAATGAGTCAACATTATTGAATATTTTGTGTAGATCAGTGACTAAAAAATTATATCCATTTTAATTCCAGTTTGTAAGTCAACAAAATGTGGAAAAGTCCAAGGGGGGTGGGGGGAATAGTGAATAACATCACCATTATATACTAAGTGGAGCTATTTCCTTTTTGGAAGAATTCAATTCATTAAACTGTCAATAATTGAAGCAGTGCAGAGCCTCTTACCTGCAAGTAATCATCACCACATGAACATGCAAATGTACAATTCTTACTTGGAAAAGAAGCCACAGTATTTAGTGTGTCAACAGCTGGATCACAGTTAGGATACTAGGGGGTAACTAGTCCCCTGGGGTAGCCCACATGATGTCACCAAATTATCTTCCCAACACTTTCCCTGGCTGCCATTGCTCTTGCTAAAAAGAAATGTCCTCTGTGTCATCACAACTTTTTGAGATATTTCAACAAAATAATTTTGTGGTAATTTTGTGCTAATTTTTTGAAATTTTGAAAAAGTTGTAGATACATTCCAATGAAGATAGATCTATAAATGTTTGTTTTGTTTTAATATACAAGTAGGAAAGACTTAAGATAAATAATCCACTTGTTTAGAGAGAAACTTTTAGATAATTTTTGAGTAAAGTAGTAATATGTTGGAAGAGTGTTGGGGGGATAGTTACCCCTTTATGGTTATGAATGGGGGTTAGTTACCCCTTTATGGTTATGAATGTGTTTCTACCTGTCGTTTAGACAATGACTGGCCCAGTAAGCGCTAGTTTATGCTAACTTGCTAGCTAGCAACTTCACTAGCAGTAAATGCTAGCCACCTAGCTAGTTAGCATAAGCTGCTTGGAGTGCTAGCTAGCAACCTTACTACCAGATCATCTGAGGTAAAATACATTTAAAAAATAATGTAACTTAATTGCAGTTGTAAACGTTTCCACTAGTGACTGATAGCTTTACAGTTAATGTTACTTTATAGCCTTTTAGCTATTTTACACAGCATTTTATGTCATATAGGTAGGTAGCTAGCTACATTTTTAAGAGAGAGCTTTTCAATTGGCATATCTCCCCCTGTTTTCAGTCACAGGTGGGGACAGGATTAGGTGTGAGCAGTGCAGAAGGTGGGCTCATGAGTTGTCCTCCAATTTTACTGGGGATAGCTTATCTTATTGGTGACCTATGTACAAATTAGAATCGTGCAATAGCAGAGCAAAAGAGAGTTGCCACATCAATGTTACCCTGAATTAATTAGTTAAGTTATTGTTATAAAATGTTATATTTCAATGTTATTTAATGTTATTAGTTATATACCATTCCAATATTATATTCCAATGAATATGTTTTTAAATGAATTATAAACAACTATTGAAAACCTTTTGCTCCTGAATGTCATTTTAAAGACTGCTCGGATTTAAAATCTTGCATTATTCAAATAGTATTTAGAGCAATTGTACATAATGGCTGGTATAGAAAAATAACAACAAAGAAAGAACAAAGAAAATGAATGTGCATGTGAATTAAAAAGAGGGACTTTACATTGTTAGAAATAGCGTAATTCAAATCTGGTATGGGAATAAGAGAAAACATAATCAAGAGATATTCAATCCAAGCTAAATTTATTATATGCTAAATGTATGTATGATAAGTATGATGGTTCGTATACGGGCTCACTGAAATACCACGCAGGGCAGACAGAGAACTGATCCATTGTTCTAAGTTCTTCTTCAAATACTCTGACAGAGATAGTTCCCGCTCCCTGCTGGCCAATCAGAGTAGAGACTGAGCGTGGTTTAGACTTACTCAGCCTATCGTTGGCGCACAGGCTGGTCCCAGTCCCTTGGCGCTTCACTGTTGCACACTGTTGCCAGGCATAAGTTGTTATCATCACAACCTGTCCAGAGAGTTGGCACTTTTGCAGTACACATGTCCTTGAGCGCGGTTTAACAAAGAGGCAGTGTTCGTGTATGTGAGACATGTGAGACACAAGTTCTTATCTCCCCCTACTCCCTAACAGCTCCTCACATGAATCACAGCTTGTTATGTGAAACAATTTATATCAGTACAGTACAAACCTATTATGTTTAATAATTAATGCATTCTTTCTAAGCTAGGCATCACATCTAATTATAAGAAAATAGATCCCCACAACATCAAATCTCCTCATAGTGCGGATATTAATGGTGACATGTGCAACACCATTTCCCTCACATATTTTATTTAAATAATTAAAATAAGACAACTAGACTTAGCTCTTAAATTACTTACTAAATAATTTCTAAATAAAACAGATTAAATGGATTTTAACACACTTGTGTGAAACCCTATGCCATAATCTTGATTTGATTTGATTTGGCACGTCCGGTACTTTTAAAAAAACGCCCCTTTTCTAAAAACAACATTTCATGAAAGAACTAAAAAAGTGTAAACTGTAGCCATTTATTTCCCTTTATAGTTTATTCCCCTAAGCATGACCTTCATCCACATACCAATTTTTTTTCAAACGTTGCTTTTTTGTGTCAGCAATTAGACATTTTGTTCTTAGGGCGGGCTGGTTACCCCCTAGTACCCTATCCATGTGGGGGAAGTAGAACCAAGGCGTGGACCCTGTCACAGTCCTTTTCTTGCTGTCTGTGATTGTCTTATACCTACAGCACTAGACATCATCAAACATTACTGAATTAAGAAATTAGACAATAATTTAAAAAACGGTCTTTCCACCCCACCTCTTCAATATGAAATGGTATTGTGCTGGTACGAGTAGTGTATCCTGAACGCACCCAAGAGGAGGCAGGGCTATTCAATGCCTTCTGATAGGCTAGTGTAGGCGTACCACCCCCGACACTGACATTGCTCTAAATAAAGACTCCAAAAACATGTTGAGGACACCAACATGCTTCAAGTGCGGTGCATTTGTTCGACTCTTGGCAAGCGGGATTCAACCCTGTCTTTTTCGACAACATCAAAGTAGTCGCGCTAATCTCAGACGGCTGCTTTCCAGCACACAGCCAGGTATTTGAGCTGAAGTCTCGTTTTCTTGTTAACTTGCCTATAAGTATGATAGCGAATTAATGTGTCACTAAACTTCTCGGCGATAGTATGCTGCTATTCAGCAATTATCAAATGGTTGGATATCCTTATCAAAGTAGGGTCTAAACACCATGAGAAAAGATTTGACATTGTGTAGTGTACAAAAACTGGTCGGCCTTTCATTCAATGTTGATGACCTAGGACTATGTTCCTAATGTAGGGGCGTAATCATTACTCCAACGTTTTGCAACAACCTAGCGTTTCTATTGGACAGGTTTAGCAAATAGGGCGGGACCTACCTGAATCTGTCCAATAGAAAACTTTTCGGAGTAACGATTACACCCCAGGCTAAGAGTTTAAATTACCAACAAAACCGACGCGTGCGCAACTATGGGGCAAAACCAATTATGTATATAAACCCTGGATTGCTGATGCTATGTATTGGCCATTGACAAAATTATATGTATTCAATTATTTTTGTTGTTGTAGTGGGCACAGTAACATTAGTACCAAAAAAATAAAATACTTTAAGGATTAAAAAATATATATATTTGTATGTTTAGCTCACATATTATAATTTAAAAGTATGCATTAAGGTGTCTGTAATATAATAAATGTGTCAAATGAATGTAGACATTAATAAATGCATTTCTATAGCTTCCCAAATAATTTTTACAATTGAGGAGTACCAAGATGGCTGTGTGGGGGCTTCAATACAGAGCCCCCTGTCAGTGATCCAGAGTTTATAGACATATGAGTAGAGTCTATCTGCAGACCACGTTTACTACATGCCGTGCCCACTACCATTGAGTCTGCTAGCTAGCTAGGACACGGCACACAGTGTCCTTCGCCCCAGCTCGCCGAGCACTGCTTTCTTGCAGTTATTTTAATGGTGCTACACAGGAGTTTTGGTTGTTGAATTTTTGCATTGTAATTTCTGAAAATGTCCATAATATGGCGCAAACAGTGGAATGATAGAGTTTCACAGTATTACTTACCCGCCAGTGTTGTGATTGGCTGTGATATTCGCCTATTGATTTCTCCCGCCGGAGCGGCATCTGTTGTCAAACTGGGAAAGCTGTTCTGACTATGTCTGTGTTATCTAGTGGCTGGGCTGATGAGACCGTGGATTGTGCAGTCAGATGGAACAGAGTAAATATGCATTTTAACGTCATAGATTTAGCCGGTGGTAACTTGTGGAATAGACACCGGCTGGAACCAATCAGCATTCAAGATTAGACCCAACCGTTGTATAAATTAAAACAAAAAGTGATGCATTCAGTTTCTCCTATATACACTAACGGTCAAAAGTTTTAGAACACCTACTCATTTAAGGGTTTTTCTTTATTTTTACTATTTTCTACATTGTAGAATAATAGTGAAGACATCAAAACTATGAAATAACACATATGGAATCATATGGTCCTCTGTAGCTCAATTGGTAGAGCATGGCGCTTGTAACGCCAGGGTAGTGGGTTCGATCCCTGGGACCACCCATACGTAAAAATGTATGCACACATGACTGTAAGTCGCTTTGGATAATAGTGTCTGCTAAATGGCTTATTATTATTATATTATTATGTAGTAACCCAAAAAGTGTTAAACAAATCAAAATATATTTATATTTGAGATTCTTCAAATAGCCACCCTTTGCCTTGATGACAGCTTTGCACACTCTTGGCATTCTCTCAACCAGCTTCACCTGGAATGCTTTTCCAACAGTCTTGAAGGAGTTCCCACATATGCTGAGCACTTGTTGGCTGCTTTTCCTTCACTCTGTGGTCCGACTCATCCCAAACCATCTCAATTTGGTTGAGGTCGGGGGATTGTGGAGGCCAGGTCATCTGCTGCAGCACTCCATCACTATCCTTCTTGGTAAAATAGCCCTTACACAGCCTGGAGGTGTGTTGGGTCATTGTCCTGTTGAAAAACAAATGATAGTCCCACTAAGCCCAAACCAGATGGGATGGCGTATCGCTGCAGAATGCTGTGGTAGCCATGCTGGTTAAGTGTGCCTTGAATTCAAAATAAATCACAGACAGTGTCACCAGCAAAGCACCCCCGTACCATAACTCCTCCTCCTCCATGCTTTACGGTGGGGAATACACATGCAGAGATCATCCGTTCACCCACACCACGTCTCACAAAGACACGGCGGTTGGAACCAAAAATCTCAAATTTGTACTCCAGACCAAAGGACAAATTTCCACCGGTCTAATGTCCATTGCTCGTGTTTCTTGGACCAATCAAGTCTCTTCTTCTTATTGGTGTCCTTTAGTAGTGGTTTCTTTGCATCAAATCGACCATGAAGGCCTGATTCACACAGTCTCCTCAAAAAGTTATACAGCTGCACCATCGAGAGCATCCTGACTGGTTGCATCACCGCCTGGTATGGCAACTGCTCGGCCTCCGACCGCAAGGCACTACAGAGGGTAGTGCGTACGGCCCAGTACATCACTGGGGCCAAGCTTCCTGCCATCCAGGACCTCTATACCAGGCGGTGTCAGAGGAAGGCCCTCAAAATTGTCAAAGACTCCAGCCACCCTAGTCATAGACTGTTTGTTCTCTCTGCTACCGCACGGCAAGCGGTACCGGAGCGCCAAGTCTATGTCCAAAAGGCTTCTCAACAGCTTCTACCCCCAAGCCATAAGACTCCTGAACAGCTAATCATGGCTACCTGGACTATTTGCACCCCCACCCCATCTTTTTATGCTGCTGCTACTGTGTTAATTATTTATGCATAGTCACTTTAACTCTACCCACATGTACATATTACCTCACCCCGCACATTGACTCTGCACCGGTACCCCCCCTATATATAGCCTCCCTACTATTATTTTATTTTACTTCTGCTCTTTTTTACCTCAACACTGTTGTTGTTGTTTTATTTTACTTTTTTATTAAGAAATAAATGCATTGTTGGTTAAGGGCTGTAAGTAAGCATTTCACTGTAATGTCTACACCTGTTGTATTCGGCGCATGTGGCAAATAAAATTTGATTTGATTTTGATTTGAACAGTTGATGTTGAGATGTGTCTGTTACTTGAACTCTGTGAAGCATTTATTTGAGCTGCAATTTCTGAGGCTGGTAACTCTAATGAACTTATCCTCTGCGGCAGAGGTAACTCTGGGTCTTCCATTCCTGTGGCGGTCCTCATTAGATCTAGTTTCATCATAGTGCTTGATGGTGTTTGCGACTGCACTTGAAGAAACTTTCAAAGTTCTTGAAATGTTCTGTATTGACTGACCTTCATGTCTTAAAGTAATGATGTACTGTCGTTTCTCTTTGCTTATTTGAGCTGTTCTTGCCATAATATGGACTTGGTCTTTTACCAAATAGGGCTATCTTCTGTATACCCCCCTACCTTTTCACACTGATTGGCTCAAACGCATTAAGGAGGAAAGAAATTCCACAAATTTAATTTTTAAGAAGGCCCACCTGTTAATTTAAATGCATTCCAGGTGACTACCTCATGAAGCTGGTTGAGAGAATGCCAAGAGTGTGCAAAGCTGTCATCAAGGCAAAGGGTGGCTATTTGAAGAATCTCAAATATAAAATATATTTTGATTTGTTTAACACTTTTTTGGTTACTACATGATTTCCATATGAGTTATTCAATAGGTTTGATGTCTTCACTATTATTCTACAATGTAGAAAATAGTAAAAATTAAGAAACCCTTGATTGAGTAGGTGTTCTAGAACTTTTGACCTGTAGTGTATATTTTTTTACTAAACCCTGCCCGAGTGAAATTGAAAAAGCATGACCCTCCCCCATTTTCCTTAGAGTAATAATTGTGTACATTTCGACCGGGCCCTTACACTTCATGAAGGCCTTATAAAACCTGTCATAGACATCAACGTCCATTCATGACCACTTATGACATAGGCCTATTTTAGACCGTAGTTAAAGTGTTAATTCATTTCTCTACTTAGGCCTATATAGTTATAGCACCTAATCATACCTTACATTTACATTTTAGTCATTTAGCAGACGCTCTTATCCAGAGCGACTTACAGTTAGTGAGTACATACATTATTTTATATATATATATATATATATATATATATATATATATATATATACAGTGAGGGAAAAAAGTATTTGATCCCCTGCTGATTTTGTATGTTTGACCACTGACAAAGACATGATCAATCTATAATTTTAATGGTAGGTTTATTTGAACAGTGAGAGACAGAATAACAACAAAAAAATCCTGAGAAACGCATATCAAAAATGTTATAAATTGATTTGCATTTTAATGAGGGAAATAAGTATTTGATCCCTCTGCAAAACATGACTTAGTACTTGGTGGCAAAACCCTTGTTGGCAATCACAGAGGTCAGACGTTTTTTGTAGTTGGCCACCAGGTTTGCACATATCTCAGGAAGGATTTTGTTCCACTCCTCTTTGCAGATCTTCTCCAAGTCATTAAGGTTTTGAGGCTGACGTTTGGCAACTCGAACCTTCAGCTCCCTCCACAGATTTTCCACAGATCCACAGGCTAGGCCACTCCAGGACCTTAATGTGCTTCTTCTTGAGCCACTCCTTTGTTGCCTTGGCAGTGTGTTTTGGGTCATTGTCATGCTGGAATACCCATCCACGACCCATTTTCAATGCCCTGGCTGAGGGAAGGAGGTTCTCACCCAAGATTTGACGGTACAAGGCCCCGTCCATCGTCCCTTTAATGCGGTGAAGTTGTCCTGTCCCCTTAGCAGAAAAACACCCCCAAATCATAATGTTTCCATCTCCATGTGTGACGGTGGGGATGGTGTTCTTGGGGTCATAGGCAGCATTGCTCCTCCTCCAAACATGGCGAGTTGAGTTGATGCCAAAGAGCTCGATTTTGGTCTCATCTGACCACAACACTTTCACCCAGTTCTCCTCTGAATCATTCAGATGTTCATTGGCAAACTTCACGGCGTAGTGTGTTACCAATTGTTTTCTTGGTGACTATGGTCCCACCTGCCTTGAGATCATTGACACGATCCTCCCGTGTAGTTCTGGGCTGATTCCTCACCGTTCTCATGATCATTGTACCTCCACGAGGTGAGATCTTGCATGGAGCCCCAGGCCGAGGGAGATTGACAGTTATTAATAATCGCACCAACTGTTGTCACCTCCTCACCAAGCTGCTTGGTGATGGTTTTGTAGCCCATTCCAGCCTTGTGTAGGTCTACAATCTTGTCCCTGACATCCTTAGAGAGCTCTTTGGTCTTGGCCTTGGAGAGTTTGGAATCTGATTGATTGATTGCTTCTGTGTACAGGGCTCTTTTATACAGGCAACAAGCTGAGATTAGGAGCACTCCCTTTAAGAGTGTGCTCCTAATCTCAGCTCGTTACCTGTATAAAAGACACCAGGGAGCCAGAAATCTTTCTGATTGAGAGAGGGTCAAATACTTATTTCCCTCATTAAAATCCAAATCAATTTATAACATTTTTTAAATGCGTTTTTCTGGATTTTTGTTGTTGTTATTCTTTCTCTCACGGTTCAAATAAACCTACCATTAAAATTATAGACTGATCATTTCTTTGTCAGTGGGCAAACGTACAAAATCAGCAGGGGATCAAATACTTTTTTCCCTCACTGTATATATATATATATATTTTTTCATACTGGCCCCCCATGGGCAACGAACCCACAACCCTGGCGTTGCAAACGCCATGCTCTACCAACTGAGCTACATCCCTGCCGGCCATTCCTTCCCCTACACTGGACGACGCTGGGCCAATTGTGCGCCGCCCCATGGGTCTCCCGGTCGCGGCCAGCTATGACAGAGCCTGGATCTCTAGTGGCACAGCTAGCACTTAATTCCAATGTGTACTTCCTACCTCACCCCTGCAATATACAATGTTGAGGGTTCTTGCACAAAATGCAGCTGTGCATTATCCAGGTGGTTAGTCAGTTGGTGACTTTACTGATGCCGTTGTTTGATCTCCGAGTGGCTATAGGGGAAGATTGAGGGGTCGACCTGGAAAATGTGGCTTCACTTCCTAAGGCCGGGATTCATCCGATCATGCTTGTAAACAATGCAGATTTTAAAGGCAATGTTATCGTGTTCGCTGAGATCGCATTCAAGGTAAACTGCAAATGTTGGCTGAATTGAAAATTATCTTTAAATGTCAAGTGCGCTATAGCCTGGTTTCAGATTGAATCCCGGCCTAAGTCTTAGGCCTACCTTGAAGTGCTTTATTGTCGTCAAGGCAAATAGCCCACCAACAGGCTCTAATGTTGCAAGTTATTATGCACCCGGTGCTATACTAGTCTAACCACTCTATTTGTCTGACACAGGAGAGAATGTTCGACCACTGGATGGCGTTAAAGTCCTAGACCTCACAAGGTATATTCACATAGCTTACTCTTTCTTTCCTCTTTCTATTATCCAATATCATTTATTTTTCTTCCCTTGTTATCTGTCAGCCTTGAGGTTAGAGAGGTGGTTGTCTTTGTGTGTGTGTGTGTGTGTGTGTGTGTGTGTGTGTGTGTGTGCATGATCTATTCTCTTTTTTTTTTTGCAGGGTCCTGGCTGGCCCATTTGCAACAATGATACTGGGAGACCTGGGTGCTGAGATTATCAAAGTCGAGAGACCAGGCAAGTGATGAGACAAATTCAGTGTTACATTCTGTAAGGGTTTGGAAAAATATTGACTGTTGCCGTGGAAAATGTAAACGTGCAGTTACAAAAGGGGGTCACTTGCAACTTTGACACTATCCTAGACTAGAGTATTTGTTGAAGTTTTTCTGTTGTCTGTGGCTCTGACAATCAGCAGCCACATGGTGTCACTGCTGTGTAAGACTAATGGGAACCTACTTCATGAAGGTTTGTGAATATTTTAAAGGCCCTGTTGGAATGCTCTTACATGTACAATGCATCCTTCCTCAAAGTAATCACTGATGTAACATAATTTGATAGGTGAAAGCAAGGCTTCCACTGCGTTGTTTTCACCAATCATGAGTAGCCCTTTATAATAACTCCAAGTAATAAAGCATTTATGATGGATTAGTAAATTGTTTATTCATAATTTCTTTATTTCTCCCACATTTGTAAATGTTAGTAACCTAGTTATTCACACATTTCTAAAGAACTTTTAAAGTATTTAATAATGATTCATAAGATGTTTAATAACATTACACAGTTACAGTCACTCACCCATCTAGATAACTCGAAACAGACTAACCAGATTGTGTGTCTTGAAGTCGCCTAGGCTAGCTAGTGCTAGCCAACTTCTTTCACCAATTAGCTTCAGCCAGCTGGTGTGCAACCATGGCAAAGTTGGTTTGACATTGGATAGCATATCTCTGGGGCTAGTTGGGGACCGTCAATTACACTATGTAAATGGGACAATATTTTGATATTTAATTTTTTAGTTGTCGCATTAAATGCTTTCAATATTTGTATATGAACTTTTACAATTTATAGAGGTTATAGAGGTTTTTAAGTCATTGAAATGTGTAGCTATTGACATTTTAAAAATATTGTCCCATGTACATTGTATCATTTAATGATGGTCCCTAACTAGAACCATAGGGATATCGAATGTCCAACCAAATTGACTGTGGGCATTACGATGGTGTCGCATGCAGCTGCACTCCAAATTTATGATTACTTGGGTGCTTCCAGATGTGGGCAGAATTAAAATAAACCCAACCCAAGAAAAACCGTACCCTTCATTCCGTAACATCTCACAAATCTCAGTTTTGGACGAGACTGACTTTATTACCAAAATTATCCTATTTACACTTTGTAGTACATTTTGACACTAGAATAAATGTTTCTGACTCTGATTTTGAAAACTAGAAGTTGCTTTTTAGGGGCAGTCGCTCTTTAACATCCTGTGTTGTGTGCATATTATTTTACCATTGAGGCTATTTTGAGACATTAAAGAGCATCAGGTACTGCTGGAATGTCTACCAATGGCATGTCCATCTTTTTGTGAAAAATTACACACAAAACATTTATAGTATAAATGGCCCACACTTTAGATGAGGCCACGCAAAAAGTTTATAAGGACCTATATTAAACATCTTATGAATGGAGTAATGATTAATAAATGATTAATAAACGATTTACTAATAAATCCATTAAATGCTTTATTATATGGAGTTATTATAAAGTGCTACCCAATCATGTTATGTCAGATCAGCGACAACCTAAAAGAAGGGTGGAAGGAAGGATGCATTTTAAGTTGGAGAAGGATTTGGAACTTTCCTCAACACGGGTAATGGTGACCATTGTCCAATGTTTCACTGGCATCTTAATAATGTAATGAAATGTAATTATAGTGAAATCCATCAGACCTGGGTTCAATTCAGTTTTGAAGCAATTATGTTGGTTCCATTGCACCAGGAAACCTCAATCAAGCGAAAGTATTTGAAATGATTAGAAATAGTATTTTTCTGAATAGTGATCATTTCTGGCAGGTGCTGGGGATGACACCAGATCATGGGGACCTCCGTTTGTTGGTGATGAGAGTGCTTATTTTCTCAGTGTCAACAGAAACAAGAAGGTACATACAGTGGGTATCAATTCATTTTATCAATGATTTTTTATGGATTTACACGATACACAATACTCCATAATATCACAGTGAAAAGACAATTCTACATATGTTAATAAATTAAATAACATATTGTTGTTGCAAACGTATTTGCCCCTTTTTTTCTTTTAGGCAAGCCTAAATCAGTTCAGGAGTAAAATGGAGGTCCCCAATGATTTGGCTTAACAAATCATATAAGTTACATGTACTCACTCTGTGTGAAATAATAGGGGTTCACATGTTTTAATCACTATCCCTTTCTCTGTCCCCCATACATACAACAAATGTAAGGTCCCTCAGTCAAGTATTGAACTTCAAGCACAGATTCAACTACAAAGACCAGGGAGCTTTTTGAAAGCCTCATAAAGAAGGGCAGTGATTGGTAGATGGGTAACAATAACAAATCAGACATTGAATATCTCTTTAAGTATGGTCAAGTTAATAATGATGATGTATTAAACCACCCAGACACAACAAAGATACAGTTGTCCTTCTGAACTGAGCTGCAGGACAGGAGGAAAACTGCTCATGGATGTCACCATGAGGCCATTGGTGACTTTAAAACAGCTAAAGTTCAATGGCTGTGAAGGGAGAACTGAGGATGGATCAACAACATTGTAATGATAGATAATGACCTAAATAACAGAGGGAAAAGAAGAATACAAATATACAGAATATAAATATTTAAAGGCACTAAAGTAATACTGCAAAGGAATCAACTTTTTTGCCTAAATGCTAAGCCTTATGTTTGAGGCAAATCCAACACAATTTTTTATTTACTTAACCTTTTATTTAACTAGGCAAGTCAATTAAGAACAAATTCTTACTTACAATGACGGCCTACCAAGAGGCAAAAGGCCTCCTGCGGGGACGGGGGATTAAAAATAGAGACAGACAACATAAAGATAGACCTAAGACAGCAACACAGCATGGTAGCAACATGGCAGCAGCACAATATGGTAGCAGCACAAACCTGGTACAAACATTGTTAGGCACACACAACAGCACGAAGGGCAAAAAGGTAGAGCCAACAATACATCACGAGAAGCAGCCACAAGTGTCTTTAAGAGTGTCCATGATTGAGTCTTTGAATGTAGAGCTGGAGATAAAACTGTCCAGTTTAAGTATTTTCTTTTCAGCTCGTTCCAGTCGCTAGCTGCAGCGAACTGAAAAGAGGAGCGACCGGGGGATGTGTGTGCTTTGGGGACCTTTAACAGAATTTGACAGGCAGAATGGATTGTTGTATGTGGGGGATGAGGGTTGCAGTAGGTATCTCCAATAGGGGGGAGTGAGGCCTAAGAGGTTTTTATAAATAAGCATCAACCAGTGGGTCTTGTGCCGGGTATACGGAGATGGCCAGTTTACAGAGGAGTATAGAGTGCAGTGATGTGTCCTATAAGAAGTATTGGAAGCAAATCTGATGGCCGAATGGTAAAGAACATCTAGCAACTCTAGAGCAGCCTTACCTGCCGATCTATAAATCTCCGTAATCTAGCATGGGTAGAATGGTCATCTGAATCAGGGTTAGTTTGGCAGCTGGGGTGAAAGAGGAGCGATTATGATAGAGGTAACCATGTCTAGATGTAACCTTAGCCTGCAGCTTGGATATGTGCTGATAGAAGGACAGTGTACCTTCTAGCCATACTCCCAAGTACTTGTATGAGGTGACTACCTCAAGCTCTAAACCCTCAGAGGTAGTAATCACACTGGTGGGGGTGTGATTAATGACCTTTGTTTTGGAGGTGTTCAGAACAAGGTTAAGGGCAGATAAAGCTTTGTTGTAGAGTGTTTAACACAAAACCGGGGAGGGGCCAGCTGAGTATAAGACTGTATCATCTGCATATAAATGGATGAGTGCGCTTCCTACTGCTTGAGCTATGTTGATGTAAATTGAGAAGAGCGTGGGGTCTAGGATTGAGCCTTTGGGTACTCCCTTGGTGACAGGTAGTGGCTGAGACCGCATATGTTCTGACTTTACACATTGCACACTCTGAGAGAGGTAGTTGGCAAACCAGGCCAAAGACCCCTTAGAGACACCAATACTCCTTAGTCAACCCACAAGAATGGAATGGTCTACCGTATCAAAAGCTTTGGCCAAGTCAATAAAAATAGCAGCACAACATTGCTTAGAATCAAGGGCAGTGGTGACATCATTTAGGACCTTTACATCACTGAGTAACTGTCTCATTATTTTCAAGCATGGTGGTGGCTGCATCATGGTATGGGTATGCTGAGGGGTTTTTCAGGATGGCGCTAAGCACAGGCAAAATCCTAGAGGAAAACCTGTCCATTCAGCAGGACAATAACCTACAACACAAGGCCAAATCTACACTGGAGTTGCTTACCAAGAAGACAGTGAATGTTCCTGAGTGGCCAAGTTACAGTTTTGACTGAAACCTGCTTGAAAATATATGGCAAGACTTGAAAATTGCTGTCTAGCCATGATCTAACACCTTGACAGAGCTTGAATAATTTTGAAAATAATAATGGACAAATATTGCACAATCCAGGTGTGCAAGGCTCTTAGAGACTTACCAAGAAGACTCACAGCTGTAATCACTGCCAAAGGTGTTTCTAACATGTCCAGTGAGCTCTAAAAGTGTTGGGACAGTGACCATTTTGTTGTTTTGGCTCTGTACTCCAGCACTTTGGATTTGAAAATATACAATGACTATGTGGTTAATGTGCAGACTGTCAGCCTTAATTTGAGGGTATTTATCCATATCGGGTGAACCGTTTAGAAATTTCTGAATGAATCTTGAATAATGATCAGAGATAAAGTTAGACGCACAAATATCATACCTCCAAGACATGCATTACAATAATGGGAGGTTAGCATTTTTTTTAGGGGTATGATATTTGTGCATCTAACTTCGTCACTCAACATTATTCACAATTAATTCAGGATGATCCGTAATAGTCATTGTATCATTAGTCATTGTGTCATTTCAAATCCAAAGTGCTGGAGTACAGAGCCAAAAATCTTTTTTAAATGGTCACTATCCTAATACTTTTGACTTTCTTATCTAATCAAGGTATGGGATTTGTTTTGTTGAA